TCATCCATCCATCATCCATCCATCATCCATCCATCATCCATCCATCCATCTATTCATCATCCATCCATCATCCATCGTCCATCATCCATCCATCCATCATCCATCCATCCATCCATCATCCATCCATCCATCATCCATCCATCATCCATCCATCATCCATCCATCCATCATCCATCCATCATCCATCCATCCATCATCCATCATCCATCCATCCATCATCCATCCATCCATCTATTCATCATCCATCCATCATCCATCCATCCATCATCCATCCATCCATCATCCATCCATCCATCCATCATCCATCCATCCATAATCCATCCATCATCCATCCATCATCCATCCATCCATCATCCATCCATCATCCATCCATCATCCATCCATCCATCATCCATCCATCATCCATCCATCTATTCATCCATCCATTCATCCATCCATCCATCCATCCATCATCCATCCATCCATCCATCTATTCATCGATCCATTCATCGATCCATCCGTCCATCATCCATCCATCCATCCATTCATCCATCCATCCATCCATCCATCCATCATCTATTCATCCATCCATCCATCCATCCATCCATCCTTTATTCTTGGAGACAACAGATCCCAGACATCCCTCTCTCCATCTCCTTTGAGAGGTTCTAAGGTGTTCCTGGGCCTGGGAAGATGTAAAATCCATCAACCAGGTTCTCCTCTCTGTGGGATGTGTCAGGTACACCTCCAGAGTGAGGGGAGGCACCTAGGAGATAACCTAATCAGATGAACCACCTCAGTGGACTCTTTTCTCTGCTGGGTCAGCAGCAGCTCTACTCCCCCAGATGACAGAGCTCCTCACCCTGTCTCTAAGGTTGAGCCTCGTCTCACAAGCTCCTTTCAGCTTCTTGTATCCAGGATCTCGTTCTTTCAGCTGTGATCCTCACTTCAGGATCACAGGTGAGTATTTGGACCAATAAATAAGAGCTCAGCTCCTTTTTCACTGCAACAGACCAGAGTAACCCCCTCATTACTGTGGACGAGCCACAGATCTGGGGCCAGTTGTTCAAAAATTGTAATCTGGATCAAAATKATCTGGATTTTGAAATCCCAGTTTTTGCGTCATGTGGGTCACTTGGTGCGAGGGGCAGGGACACCCTGGACTGGTCACAAGTCCATCACAGGGACACATAGAGACAAACAACCCTTCACTCTCTGACCTAGGGACAATTTAGAGTTATCAGTTAGCAGAATGTTTGTGTTTTTGGTCTGTGGGAGGAAGCAGGAGTACCTGGAGAAAACCCACACATGCACAGAGAGAACATGCAGACTCTAACCAGAATGGATTACGTTTGAAGTGGTCCCTGCTGATCCGTCTCCTGTTCTGTCTACTTCTTCTCTGCTTCAGATGAAGACAGAGAGGTGTTGTAACTGTTGTCTGGCTGTGGACCATGGTCTCAGTCTGCTTCACACTTGGCTGTAAAATGCCTCACTGCACGCTGAAGATCCCAACAGACCCACATCATCTGCAGATTCCAGAGACCAGACCCTGGATAGTTTCAATAAAATAAACATTAAAGGACAGCTGAAGGATTAAAACTAATAATTTTAAGACTGRTCATGTCAAAGAGTCTTGCACCTTCAGGCTTCATAATTTATGTTGGATTATCAAAAGAAAAGAGACTCACAGTTTGTGCAAAATTAAGTTACTTTGTCAAACTCATATTTAAGATTTTATTGTGTTACATTAAGCTGTCTGTGTTCCTTCCACACTGAATGGTTCTTAGTGAACAGCATGAATAACAGAAACCATCTTGGTTCCTGTCTGTCTGCAGATGCGTCCTATGTGGACCCACTGGGGCCTCAGATGGACAGACCAAAGACGGGTGCAAAGAAACGGCTGGATGATGATGACTTTGCAGATGAAGAGTTGGGAGATGACCTGCTGCCAGAGTAGAAACATCCAGCCTGATGTTACCATCTCCTGGAACATCTGAGTGATTCTGCCGCAAAACCTCTGTTCAGACAAAAAAAAATAATCAGAACTCATTTCAGCAAGTCCAACATGTTKAGATGAACCAACCATTTCAGTTAACGTAAAAAATGTACTTTGTTGATCTTCTTGATGTTTTATTCTTTGTTTCATAATAAATTAATACATTTTCTGTTTTAGACAAACTGACAAGTTTCTTTCTGAACACAAATTATTCAGCAGATAATGTGGAGCTTTCTTTTACAAGACATCAAACAGAACTATGGTTTGTTCAAGTTTTCCATGAAGAAATGTGCATCAGCTCCTCCTGTCAGATCAGAAATATCTGATGTGTTAAAGTTCTACAGTTGTATAAAATTTAAGTCAGAGCTTAAAATAACTGTGTCATGAAATATTACAAGCTTAGGTTCATCAGGATAGTTTCAATAAGTTTCATTAACTAGTTAAAATGATGATTTTATGACTTTAAAGAAACTTCAACCATTTATTTCGTTACATTTTATTGTGACTTTATTAGTTTTCCTGAGCTGAGCTGACAGAGAAGGGTTTTTCTGATAATGTTCCAGTCCGGATCCAGGAGCAGAACAGTCCTGATCCATGAGCAGAACAGTCCGGATCCAGGAGCAGAACAGTCCTGATCCAGGAGCAGAAC